ACAGTTCAGTCTCAAACAGTGTGAGGGGTATTCACCCAGCTCTTAACAAGTGCCAAGTTTTCAGAATCTTTATCTCAATTAATACTAGGGAGTTATTAAGAATTGAAGAACACATATCAGTCAGGCTCAAAACTAATTCAATAAGCAATTTTGAGGTAAAAGTGAAAAAAGCAGCCAAATTCCCTCAAAAGCAGCTTCGGGATCCTTGCTCTATGAGGGCAAAGCATCCCAACCCTTCAGGTGTCTTCAGAATTAGTGTTCGGGCTGAAGAAGCCTGATATCTCTATTTAGTTCACTGTATTTCAGCTTTGCCTTAACCAAGACACTTTTACAATGACATTTCATTCAGCTGGTGTTGGAGTAATCTTAGAAAACTTGCTTTAAAGCTTGAGTTTTTATGTTTTCTTTTTAATAGGTAGCATTTGATAACACTTTAGTCCAGAGACAATATTCAGTTTTTATTAAATAGGTTTTACAGGTTTTCAAAACAAAGGCTTATCTCTCTTCCATTGTTATATTGATGGATACGTAAAGACATGAAAAGAGGATTTTAAATTTGAGACTTCGCTCCACTGACTCTAAGGCCACTCAAAAGATTAATTCAGGATGAAAAATGTAGTAATACGGTGTATTGGTACAACTTTTTCCCCAAGGAAACATTTTAAGTATCTTAAAAATAGTCATCGCTGCAGCAACACAGACAGAAGAAAAACATATATATCTATGTTTTCCAGAGCAAATCAAGACACTAAGATTGCAAGTGAGCAAGTGAATTGCCTGAGACCATTCAGAGTCAAAGAAATGAAAACAGGCTGCAGGACCCTAATTCCAGATCATGTTGCCTAGATAAAAATTTGATTATTTAATCTCACTGCCAGACAGAGGTGGATTTACCCCCAGTCTAGGGAAGCTTCAACTTCAAGGCCCAACATGTGCATGCATCATTTCCAGAGCCCTGCGTAACTCTCTCATGTGGTGGTATGATTTTGTAAAATTTGCAAAAGTACAATCCTTCTTTTTTTTTCCCAAATGCAGGTTGTGTTTCTTTATTGTTTTTTTTTAAATTGAAGTATAGTCAGTTTACAACATTGTGTCAATTTCTGGTGTACAGCATAATGTTTCAGTCATACATATACATACCTATATTCCTTTTCATATTCTTTTTCATTAAAGGTTACTACAAGACACTGAATATAGTTCCCTGTGCTATACATTAGAAACTTTTAGAAACTTGTTTATCTATTTTATATATAGCAGTTAGCATCTGCAAATCTTGAACTCCCAATTTATCCCTTCCCACACTCTTCCCCACCAATAACCGTAAGTTTGTTTTCTATGCCTGTGAGTCTGTTTCTGTTTTGTAAATAAGTTGATTTGTGCCAAAAGGACAATTTTCTAACTGTAATTCATTAAGATCAATCTTCTAAAAAGTACCTCCCCAAATTTTATAAGCTTCAGATTCTACAAATTCAAAATTCTTTCTTCTGCTGAGTCTACATGAACATCAGCTATACCTCTCAGCTGAACACTTACCATACAACTCACAAACCCACCCAGAAGTTTTCTCTTCCCACAGAGACTTTTATTACAGCATTAGCTCAGGCCTCACAGCACTTCCCCAAATAATGACTTCACTAATCCTTGGACCTCCAGAAAATATTTTACAATTACTCTGAACCTTTGTGAGAAACTTAGGAAGCTTTAGTGCATCAGTGAGCAGTTAACATCTGTGGGTTCCTACTGAGATCTGAGGTTTAAATCAATTAGTGGTAACCAGGACTCTCTGCAATGGGCTTTCATAGAGAACAAGCATATGCTAATGTTTTAAATTAAAAATGTACTCTCCTGGAGAGAATGTCTGTCCACACAGCATTCTCCTTCTTTGGCCCATGTAATTCTTATTGCATTTTGCACTCCAAGAGTGATTATGGAACTCATGGAAACAGTGAATCCCCAAAGAAAATATTTCTTTATAAGAAACCATAACTCTTTGAATCCCATTATTTTGTGGACTTTTAATCATGCAGCTCTTTTATCTTTGTTTTTTATAAACCCTTGCTGCTCATTCTTCATTCTCTACTCCCAAATCCCAACCAAAGTACCAGATAAAAATAGATGAGCCCTAACTTAATAGCAGGGCACCCTGATGCTACCATGCTTCCAGGCTGAAGGGAAGACCTGGAGAGGAGCTGACAACTCACCCTAGTCTTCAACTCTTGATATTGTAACTAATGTTGTCAAGTGTGCCTGCACAGGTTTCATTAATAATAATCATGCTAATATTTATTGAGCTCAGATGATAAACCAGGCACTACACTAAGCACTTGTCATGCGTTGTCTCATTTGAGCAGCCCAATGACTCTAGAAGTAGGTAATCATTAACATCCCCATTATACAGATAAGGAAACGAAGCACAACAAGGTTAAGTTACTTGCCTAGAATTATATTTTGTTTGACCATCTTCTTTCTCACCTGAGGACTCAGTCCAAGCCTCTCTCACCATAGATTTAGACATGTGACTCATGCTGCCCAGTGAAAGAATCCCATCCTTCTGGCCATGATGATCAATTCAGGGATGGACATTGTATTAGTTTTCTATTACTATATGATAAGCTACCACACACTTAGATGCTTGAGGTAACACCAATTTATGAGCTCACAGTTCTGCAGGTCGAAAGTCCAAACAAAACACGTCTACATTCTCTGCTCAGAGTTACAAAGCTAAAATCAAGGTGTTGGCCACCTGAATTCTCATCTAGAGGCTCTTTGGGGGAAATTTACTTCTAGAATCATTCTTCTTAGCAGAATTTAATTCCTTGTTTTTGTAGGACTGAGTTCTCCACTCCTTGCTGGCTAATAGACACTGGCCACTCTCAGATCCTGGAGGCTCTCTGCAATCCTTGCCACACAAAACTCATCATCTTCAAATTGGCACTGATGTGTAGAATATTTTCATACTTCAAATCTTTGATATCACCATCTCTGACCACTACACCCAGATTTAAAGGGGTCTTGTGGTTATATCAGGCCCATCCAGACATCCTCCCTAACCTAAGATCACTGATTTGGGGCCTTAGTTATGTCTGTAAAATCCCTCAACACCTAGATAAGTGCATGGTATAATAACTGGGAACAGGTACTATATACATCAGGGCCTGGGAATTTTCAGATCCATCTTGGAATTTTGATATATAAGCCAAGCTAGGCCAGTCAGAATCCTCTAAACATGGGAGCATTCTCTCCACTCTGGGTTCACGAACTGTATACACAGCATACTCCTAGAGCTGTACAATGGAGAGAATGCCTGCAAATGAAGCTAAAATTGTGGGAAGAAAAACTGAGAGGGAAGGAGAGGTTGCTGGTAATATTAATTGAATATCTGGACACAGATATCTGCTAGCTTAAGTTGGCATCTGTTATTTGCAAACAAACAGTTCTAACCAACACAGCTAAATCTTTCTCACTCCAAAGCCCAAGCTCTTAACTATGGAATTTTTCTCTGTGTTAATGGAGGCACAATACAAAAAGATCTAAATTGTGACACCAATAATATAAAGTGTGTTTGCGTATCTGTGTAGGTGTGTAGGGGAGCAGTAAAAGTGTTGAGTCTTTGTATGTGATTGAGGTTATGTTATTATCAGCTTAAAGCAGACTGTTAAAACTAGAGGATGTTTTATGGAAGCCTGATAGTAACCACACATAAAGTACCTACAGAAGACACACAAAAGCAAAAGAAAAAAGGAATCAAAGCGTATCACTACAAAACATCAATGAAACACGCAGGAAGATAGCAAGAGAGGAAAAGAAGAACAAAAGAACTACCAGACAGACAGAAATTGCAGTAGAATTCCTTCCCTCTCAGTATTTACTTTAGACATAAATGGATTAAACGCCCCAGTCAAAAAACACAGAGTGGCTGAATGGATAAAAGTACAACACTCAACGATATGCTTTCTACAAGAGACCCACTTTAGATTTAAGGACACACGTGGCCTGAAAATGATGAAATGGAAAAGGATATTTCATGCAAACAGTAAACAAAAGAGGGAGAAGTAGTTATACTTATGTCAGACAAAATAGACTTAAAATTAAAGATGGACCCAAGAGACAAAGAAGGACATTATATTATGCCAAAAGGATTCATTTGTCAGGAAGACATAACAATTATATATACACCCAACATCAGAACACCTAAATATATAAAGCAAACATTGACAGAACTGAAGGGGAAAACAGTGATACAATAATAGTAGGAGACTTCAGTACGCCACTATCAACAATGAAGAAAACATTCAGACAGAAAATCAATAAGGAAACAGCAGTCTTGAACAACACTACAGACCAAATGACCCAACAGACATACACAGAACATTTCACCTAATAGTAGCAGAACACACATTCTTCTCAAGCACACACAGAACATTATTCAGGATAGATCACATGTTAGACACCTAACAAGTCTTACCAAATTTAAGAACACTGAAATCATATCAAGTATCTTCTCTGACCACAGTGGTATGAAATTAGAAATCAATAACAGGAGGATAATTAGAAAATTCAAAGACATGTGGAAATTAAACAGCACACTCCTGGCAAAACAATGGGTCACAGAAGTCAAAAAGGAAATCAGAAAGTGTCTTGAGACAAATGAAAACAAATATACAACATCTCAAGCCTTATGGGATGAGACAAAAATAGTCCAAAGAGGGAGGTTTATAGCAATAAATGTACACATTGAAAAAGATGTATCTCAAAAACACCCCCAACTTCAAACCTTATGCAAGTAGAAGAATAGAATAAACTAAGCCCAAAGTTAGCAGAAGGAAGGAAATAAGAAAAATTAGAGCAGAAATAAACACAATGGAGACTAGAAAAACAATAGAAAAATCAATAAAACTAAGAGCTAGATTAAAAAACAAATAATGTTAACAACCACTTAGCTAGAATAAGAAAAAAAGAAGACACAAATAAATGAAATCAAAAGTGAGTAAGACCCTTTCCTCAGCTGTTGCCTAGGTGCTCGGTCCTTCTGAGGAGGCTAAGGCCATGTTGGGGTGAGGCCCTCACTCATCTGGCAACTAACACTGTGCCCGGCAGCACCCACCTGGAACTCTCCCAAGCCATGGCCTCGGTCTCCGAGCTCACCTGCATCTACTCGGCCCTGATCCTGCACGACGATGAGGTGACGGTCACAGAGGATAAGATCAATGCCCTCATTAAAGCAGCTGGTGTAAATGTTGAACTTTTCTGGCCAGGTTTGTTTACAAAGGCTCTGGCCAACATCAACATTGGGAGCCTTCTCTGCAATGCAGGGGCTGGTGGACCTGCCCCAGTAGCTGGTACTGCACCAGCAGGAGGTCATGACCCCTCTCCCACTGCTGCCCCAGCTGAGGAGAAGAAAGTGGAAGCAAAGAAAGAAGAATCTGAGGAGTCTGATGATGACATGGGCTTTGCTCTTTTTGACTAAACCTCTTTATTAACACATTCAATAAAAAGCTGAGCTCTTAACTGCTGTTGATCTTGCTAATAAAAAAAAAGTGAATAAGGAGACATTATAACTGATGCCAGAAAAATATAAAGGATCATAAAAATTAGTATGAGTAATCATATGCCAACAAACTGGATAACGTAGAAGAAATAGATAAATTCCTAGACACATACAATTTACCAAGACTAAATCATGATGAAATAGAAAATCTAACTAGAACAATTATGAGTAAGGAGATTGAATCAATAACCAAATCCTCCTAAAAAAGAAAACCTCAAGACTAAATGGATTCATGGATGAATTCCACCAAACATTTAAAGAAAAATTAACACCAATCCTTCTCAAATTCTTTCAAAAACTTGAAGAGGAGGGCATACTTCCAAACTCATTTTATGAGGCCAGCACTATCCAAATATTAAAGCCAGATAAAAATACTACAAGAAAAAAAATTATAGGCCTGATGAACATACATGCAAAATTCTCAATAAATGTTGCTAATTCAAGTTCAGCAACATATTAAAAGGATCATAAACCATGATCAAGCAGAACTTATGCCTGGGATGCAAGGATGGTCCAACATCTGCAAATCAATCAATCTGAAACACTACATTAACAGAATGAATGATAGAAATCATATTATCATTTCAGTAGATGCAGAAAGAGCTTGTGACAAAATTCAATATTCATTCATGATCAAAACTCTTAACAAATTAGGAACAGAAAAAAGTATACCTCAATATAGTAAAGATCATATATGACCTGGCCCACAGCTAACATCATGCTCAACAGTAAAAACATGAAAGCTCTTTAAGATCAGGAACAAGACAAGGTTGCCCACTTTTCCCATTCTATTCAACATAGTCTTAGCCAGAGCATTTAGACAAGAAAAAGAAATAAAAGGCATTCAAAGTGGAAAGGAAGAAGTAAAATTATCCCTGTTCACAGACGATATGATTTTATATGTAGAAAATTGTGAAGTTCCCACACACAAAAAGTTGTTAGAACTAATAAATGAATTCAGTAAAGTTGTAGGACACAAAAATCAACATACAGAAATCAGTTGTTTTTCTATACACTAACAACAAACTATCTGAAAAGCAAATTAAGAAGACAATCCCCTTTACAATCACATAAAAAAAAGAATAAAATACTTAGAAATATACTTAACAAAGGATGTGAAAGACTTGTACACTGAAAACTACAAAACATTGATGAAAAAAATTGAAAACACAAATCAGTGGGAAGACTTCTGTTTTCATATGTTGGAAGAACAGAGACTGTTTAAAATTCTGCCCAAAGCAATCTACACACCAATGCTGTCCACATGAATGTCAAAGGCACTTTTTTACAGAAATTTAAAAAAATTTAAATCTCATTTGGAACCACAAAAGCTTCAGAGTAGCTAAAGGGATCTTGAGAAAGAAGAACAAAGCTGGAGGCAACACACTTTCTGATTTTAAAATATATTACAGAGCTACAGTACTTAAAACTGTATAGCATAAAAACAGACATAAAGGCCAATGGAGTAGAACAGAGAGCCCAGAAATAAGCCCAAGCATAAATGGTCAACTGATATTGATATAGTGCCAAAAATACACAAGAGGGGAAGAATAATCTCTTCAACAAATGGTGTTGGGAAAACTGAAGATCTACATGCAAAAGAATGAAATTGGATACTTATCTTACACCATACACAGAAATCAACTCCAAATGGATTAAAGATTTAAATATAAGACCTGAAACTATACGACATATAGAAGACAACACCTTGACATTGGTCTTTGCAGTGATTTCTCGGGTCTGACACCAAAACCACAGGCAACAAAAACAAAAACAGATAAGTGAAACTACATCAAACTAAAAAGCTTCTTCATGGAAAAAAAAAAAAAGAGTGAAAAGTTAGTCTCCAGAATGGTAGAAATATTTGGAAACCTTACATCTGATAAGGGGTTAATATCCAAAATGTATAAGAAACTCCTGCAACTCAATAGCAAAAAACAAAAACAAACAAATTTAAAAAACCCTCATTTAAAACTGGGTAGAGGACCTGAATAGACATTTCTTCAAAGAAGGTGTACAAATGGCCAACAGGTAAATAAAAAGGTGTTCAACATCACTAATTATCAGAAAATGCAAATGAAAACCACAGTGGAATATCACCTCACACCAGTTAGGATGGTTATTATAAAAAGATAAGAGATAACAACATCCTGTTGTTAAGAGTGTGGAGAAATTGGAACCCCTGTGAACTGCTGGTGGGAATGTAAAATAGTGCAGCTGCTATGGCAAATAGTATGGAGGGGCTTCGAAAAATTAAAAATAGAACTACTATATGATCCAGCAATCTCACTTCTGTGTATATGTTCAAGAGATTGAAATCAGCATCTCAAAGAGATATCTGCACTCCCATGTTCATTGTAGCATTATTCACAGTAGCCAAAATATGAAACAACCCAAATGTTCATTAACAGGTGAATGGATAAAGAAAATGTGTATACAGTCAAAGAAATATTACTCAGCCTTTAAAAAGAAGGAAATGTTTCTGTATGCAACAACGTAGATGAACCCAGAGAAAACCACTAAAATTAAATACAAAATTGAGACCAGACTTAATTCCTCAAGCAGACAAAACCATTTAAGCCATTTAAATCAAAGTTAATTAAGCTTATTCTGCAAAAAAAGTGCAACTTAACTTGGGCCACTTTTTGTAAATGCTTCTGATAATCAGAAAAGAAACTTAAGTCATCTTCCTAAAATGGTATAAGATACTCACTTTCAACCAGTCCCTTGCTGCCTGGAAACCTCCACTGCAATAATTAATCATTGTAAAGGTTAAACAACTTCCTCATTTTCACTTTCTAAGCCATCCTGTAACATCTTGCCCCTGAACTTCATATTAGTCTTTGAATTTGAAAGCTCCCAGTTTGTGAACTGTTCTTATATGTGAAACGAACTCTTACTAAATACTTTTTATTGATTTGGTGGTTTTAATTTTGCTATTTCTGGATTTTTGACAACATTATGTTAAGTGAAGTAAACCAATCACAGAAAGACAAGTACTGCATGATTCCACTTATCTCACATAAATGATACCTAAAACAGTCAAAATATTAGAGGCAGAAGACAGATTGGTTGCCAGAGGCTGGGGTAGGGGAAGATGGAGAGCTACTGTTCAATGGCATGAAGTTTCAGTTATGCAACATGAATACATTCTAGAGATATCCTGTAAAACAATGCCCATGGTTAACAATACTGTGTTGTACACTTAAAATTTGTTGAGGGTTTATCGCATGTTCCTACCACACACACACAAAAAGACACACACACACACAAAACTTACATTGTTGATGGATATGTCTGTTACCTTAATTGTGGTGTTGGTTCCATAGGTGTATGCATATGTCCAAACCTATCAAATAAGTACAAGCAGGGTTTTTTTTAATACAGCAATTATACCTCAATAAAGGTGTTTTTTAAAAAGGTCCCAATGAAGGGAGTATGTTTCCCCACTGACTTCCATAATAAATCCAAAGGTACATTTATGAATATGGATTGATGAAGGCTTATTCCTCTTGAATGGAGTGTCTTACCCTCAGAGATTCTGATTTAATTGCTCTGCAGCATTGTCCAAGCATCAGGATTTTTTAAAACTCCCCAGATGATTTCAAAATGCAACCATGGTTGAGATTATCTGATATACATCAGTACTTCTCCAACATGAATAAATAGACACATAGCCTGAGGAATCTTGTTAAAATGCAGATTCTGATTTAGGATGTCTACAATGGGGCCGGAGAGTCTACATTTATAAAAAGCTTCAGAGGATGCGAAGGCTGCTCGTCCGTGACTTATTCCTGGAGCAGCAAGTCTCTAGTAGTTGGCAATCTATAACCAAAAGGGCAATTTGGATACAAGAAAAGTGGCTCCTGTAGAAAACATAAACAGTGCTTCTTTAGCCTTGGCTAGTGCAGGGTCTCTGCAGGGAAATCCATGAATGGGGCTCCATCTTTCATGTTCTTTTTCCATAAACTTATCAAGCAACCACAACGTTATTGATCTATTGTAGTGATCTAAGCTGATCATTGTTGGGATAGGAAGAGAACAGCTTCCCTTTATGAACAGAGATACTCTGGAGTGGGAAAGAAGCATTCATCTTCTTTGTGCATTGCATCTGCAAGTGACAAGCTGTAAACAACAGGGGAATTCATTTGGCACATCCTCCCTGAAGCCATTTGTCAAGTGTCATAATTCTACGGGGAAAAAAAAAGGCTTTGGGAAAGTATAATGAATGTATTCCTTACTATTGAATTTCTATTTTGCTGCTATCTCCATAGAGTCTCAGCTTCTATCTGTATGGTAACATTATTTTGGTGTTAATATCATTAAGCTTTTTGGAGAATTCTCATTTGATATACAAACAGAAGGTATTTTTGTAAAATAAAACACATATAACATTTCAGGATTTTCATTCTCCATCATGTTTGTTCCTAGAAATAACCAGAAGAGACATACTTCTCGTAGTTATACTGGTTTTACGGTTGCTTTATGGCTATTTTTAACATCATAGAAGTATAAGTGCTGGTTTTAATTTTCATATTAGCAAACAGAAGATGTGCAAATGAAAGGATTAAATTTGATCTCAGGAGGTTTCTTCTAGTCCAGTGGTTCCCAAATGTTTTTGTCGGGAGATCCCTTTTCCAACCTTAAAAATTGTTGAGGATACAAATTGCTTTTGTTTTTGTTGGTTATTTTTATTAATGTTTACTCTTTTAGAAATTAAAACTAAGAAATTTTATATATTCACTTAAATATTTAGAAAAAACAATAGTATACCCATTACAAATCACCATAAATAATATATTAGGGGAATAAATTTTCCAAAATAAGAAAAATTTAGCAAACAGAGTATCATTGTTTTCTTACATTTTAATAAATCTCTTCTGAGTCTGTATTCCTGGTATTCACTATCAGGCAATTGTGAATATCCTTCTTTGATAGTACACCAAAACTCAATAAGTGG